TGTTTTGCAAGTTTTTCCCCTCTTCCTCCTTCTGTTGCTTTTTATTACCTGATATTGCAGGATATTTCTGATTGCTACAGAATTGTGCAGACTCAACATTGTTAATCCAACCCACCGCTTTTTATTTTACCTGCATATCGTGTTTGTGCTTATTGTCTGTTTTTGTACTTAACTTTTTTCAATAAAAATGTATATGTTAAAGAAGGAAAAGTCAAAGTCCTGTGTATATAATTTGAGTTGCCTATATCGCAGAGGATCTGCGGGATGGTATAACATGTAGGTTTCGCTAAATTTACCCTCTGCCTATGCATATTGTAATAATATAAGGTACAGAGTAAAAGTGTTGGTTAGTTTTTACTGCCTTCTGTAGCTCAGCAGGAGAGATTTGCCCTTATTTTGTGTCTTGAGATGTCATCAGGGCAGGAAGTGACCTAAGGAGATTTTTTCCCTCCATACCTACCTAGGTGACTATCTTGTTGGGCGAAATGTCCCCAGTGAGGCCTTGGACAGCAATATAAACTTGACAAAGAATCAAATTAAAACTAGAGACTATGTTGATGAATATTTGGTATAACTCTGTTTATTGTAATGTGATTTATTTTGTTCAGGCTACAAATCGGAAGAATCATAGGCTAGAGGCTTTGAAAGCCAAGCAGAACCTCTTACAGATGAGAAGGGAAGATGAATTAAAACGATTTGATGAAAACACACATTGGCTCCATCGTGTAGAAAATGAAATGAAATTGTCGGGTTTAGACAACCGGATTCCGAAGGTAACAATTACTTGATATTCTGCCATTTTTCAGCCATGTTTCTTGTCCTTTTTAGAAATGTTTACAGATCTTTGTTATAACTGACTGACCTGGTGCCTCACTCCTGCTTAAGGCTATGTTTTCACCCCGTCCGAAGCAGATCTGCAGGGAACAAATAGTTATGGTCTGGACAAGCCCTTATTTTCTATAATCAGGACGGTGCCACCAATGAGCTTACTTGAGGCAGCTGCCTGAGGTGGCACTCATGGAGGTATAGTGAGGGAAGACAGCACTGAGGCCATTTTGTCTTATACTATGCACAGGCTCAGTGTTGCTGAGCTCCTTGCCTGTCCACTGTGCTTGTCCCATAGGCAGGCACAGTGCCCAAGTCTTGAGTGACATGGAGGCTGTTAAAAGTATAGACTCTGCATCTCTAAGCACAGCTTTACCAGACACTGTCTGTCTGTGTGACAGGCAGTGGAGGAAGGGGGTGGGCTCATCTCTTCCAGCCTTTTCAGCCACTTCCTGTTTACATGCATGCGCTCCAGCTGTTCAGGTTAATGAAGATTTATTTCTCAACATGAAATTGTAAAATTACTCCCCCCCCCTATTTTATTTATTTCAACACTTTTTTTTAATGACTTCAGGCTGGTCACATGACAGTGTCCTCTTCCCTTTTTGCCTCTTTTCTGATGTTGAGAGGACCTCATGAGGCAGTCAGTACTGTTCTGTGCATTATTTGGTAATACCCCCAAGGGGGCAGGCCCATGATGTTCCCCTTTACAGCAAGTGGGTTAAATGTCGCTGACTGTCATTCAGCCCTGAAGGGGGCTGGCAGTGGCAAATCAGCAGGGGACAGTGCCAGAAAGGAAGTAGGTATTTGAGAGCTGCAGTTTTTAGTTTTATATTTGCTGTGTATTAAAAGCAAGTATTTAAGAGCACGTTAATTTTATGTATTTTCTAAATTTGGTTTATTTTTCCATAGTCCTTACAAATAGTGTTTCTGCTAAAATCTTAATGTGGGAAAGCACCCTGCATTCTGTATTTTTAGCATTCAAATTTTCCTAATTGCTTGCCATAATGTTTGGCATTTTTGTCCTCCTAGCCTTAGGTATGTGAACAGAAATATATTGTATAAACTGCAGTACCAATAATTCTATTTTTAGGTGAATTTCTATTGGTTCTGGGCTATTCACAGATTTCATTTGTTAATATTTCATAAGCTTCTCTTGCAGAGTAGCCATGATCCTTTTCTATATATAGCTCCTGTGACATTTTCATTAATAATTTATCCCTACCAGTAGTTAATTGTAAAGGCCTAAAAGTAGTTGGGCATTTCATAATCTCTCGCTGATCATTGTCTGTGGGTAATGATGAATGAATGCATTGGTTCAGTTTAATAAATAACTCCCCCCCTCCTTTTTTCTTTATATACAGGAGCTTTCTAAAGACTTGCAGTGCTGTCATTTAAAATTAGAGGTAAAAGATTTAAAATCTCAGATTGAACATATGAACAGGCTGGTATGCCTTCAAGAACGAGAATACCGTCTTAGTGAAAAGTAAGTGAATACAACGTTTCCTTTCCTTTTCCTTTTTGTATTTTTTAACCTAACGTCCCTGCTCTTCTGTTATTATACTGCAAACCCCACCATTTTGAATGTGCAGAGCCACACATAGAGACTGGACTTTTGCATTTTGCTACCTTCCTGTTTGCCAAATCCCTCATGTTCCTTTTACTTATAACCAGCTTTAAATGAACCATACGGCAGTGGGCATTAGTAGTAATCTGCCTCTCTATCCTTGAATTGATTACAAAAATGCATTCATAGCTCTCGGGGATTACTTGATTTTTATTTTATTCTCCTATTGTCAGTGCAAAAACATCATGCTGAAGGTCAGACTACAAGACATCTTCTCTTTTTTTTTTTTAGCACAATGCTGGTAGGGATGTGCTGATACCGGGTATTTGGGGCGAGTACTCCTACTCGCCCAAATGCTCCGATACTTACCTCCAATACCGGAACTTCCGGTCAGAGGGAGATATCCCTCTGACCGACAGTGCAGAGGGAGCATGGAGCTGGCTTCCTTTCCTATCAGGAAGCCCAGGTGATGGGTTATGACCCAGCTTCCTGATTGGCTAGGAAGCTGGGTTCACGTGTTGCTAAGCAGTCTGGCTGCCTGACCAAGTAGGAAGCCTGACGGCGAGTCATGAGGTGCCGTCCGGCTTCCTGATTGGTCAGGAAGCCAGTCTGCAGAGAAACGAGTGGAGCTGGCTTCCTAGCCAATCAGGAAGCTGGACAGCACCTCATGACTCGCCGTCAGGCTTCCTACTTGGTCAGGCAGCCTCTGAAATCGGTGTCCTTTCGCTAGAACACCGGCTTCACAGGCAATAAGGAAGCCAGGCGACGGGTCATGATTCACCACATGACTTCCTGATAATCGGGGCATAAGGCACCGGTACATGGTACTCTGTATCGGCGAGTACCGGAGAAAAAAAATATCGGTACTCGATATCGAAAAAACGGTATCTGTGCATCCCTAATTATCATATAACAAAGATGCTTATAAAATATATCTAAAGGGTTTGTGCAGACATTACCCAAATTCAACACCAATCCCCCTTCTCCATTCTAAAGCATGTCCTAGAATTATTTTTCTTATAACTTGTTCCTGTAGTTAGAAATAGCTTTATTGCTAGTGTGAACGGGTCCTAAGGCAGGAGCATTGTTTTGCTGGGAAGGAAATCAAAGTTTATATGTATAGTAGGGGTGGAGGATAGGCTGTGTTCCAACAGGCAGGGCTGACAACGCTGGTTTGAACTACAGTGCAGGAAAGGTCCAAACCGTAAGCTGGGTTGTGTAGATAAACAGGTATTTTTCTGTACACGCAGCATTTTAAAAATTAAAGTATGTGTGAAATGTACAAGTAAGAGAAGGGGTTTTTTTTTTTTTTTTTTCCATAGTTTTTTTTTTGTTTTAAAACGTCAAGGGGTACATCACAGTAAAATACAATACAATACAAGGTGCATGAGTAATAAACCACTGTCGTATGGGAATCAGTGAAGGCGTACTTTAGCAATAATATTGCAGGCGTTGCATCCGTATTCTCTGTAGTTAATCAGGTGAAAAAAAACAAGCGTAGTCATCAAGTGAAAAAGGGGAGGAATTACGTCAAATTTAGCTTCAAAACAGATTGTGCAAGTGCATAGACGTTGAGTAAGACATACTGGTTACGAGATCTAGCACTTGGCGTATCGGCCATTCAAATAAACTAGCTTGGTGTCAGTAAGTATCCCCAAATATAGGGATGGGATGGCATGTATACATATCCGATACTAAGTAAACTGAGTCCAGAGATTGAGGCAAAGTCAGATAGAAGTTTGGTGAGATTGGGTAGAGTTATTATGGGTTTGGTGACGAAGAGTAGGGCATCATCTGCAAATAAGCATATTTTGTGAGAGAGACCAGCATGGTCAATACCGGAGATGTCAGGAGAGTTGTGGATCTTTTGGGCAAGGGGTTCTAGTGCAAGGGCAAAGAGGAGCGGGGGATAGTGGGCATCCTTGCCTGGTCCCCCTGAGGATCGGGAAGGGTTGGGAGCAGTAACCGGAGTATTTAATACTTGCTGTTGGGTTGTCGTAGAGGGCAGACACCCACGTCAGAAAGGAAGCACCAAAGCCCCAGTGACGTAATGTGTGGAAAAGGTATGGCCAGGAAATACTATCAAAAGCCTTTTTAATATCTAGTGAGAGCAGCATGGTGGGTATCTTCTTAGTCTTGGCGATATGAGAGAGGAGGGAGATTCTGCGGACATTGTCCCCAGCCTGTCTGGTAGGTATGAAGCCTACTTGGTCATTGGAGACCAGGCTACCTATGATCAAATTCAGCCTATTAGCTAGGACTTAGGCTAGTAGTTTGACGTCCACATTCAGTAAAGAGATTGGTCTGTAATTTGAGGGGTTAGTATGGTCAGAGGAAGGTTTGGGGATCATACAGATCAGGGATGTCCATGCCCCGTTGGTCGTACGTAGTCTGATGGGCTTAAAGGTCAGATCTAACCGCCTAAGTTTAGTGGCTAAGAGGGAATTTGCCTTGTTACTGCCTTGTTACTGCCTTGTTACTCTTAAGATAAAATTTGTGGGCTGTGCGATGCAGTTGTTTAGCGGCATGGTCTGTGAGCAGAAGATTCAACGCATGGCGAGCTGACTCCAAGTTTTGTTTGCCGAAGAAGGGTCCTGTGAGAAAGTTTCGGAGCATTCAGTAAAGGTTCTCTCAAGTGAGGTCAAGTGAGGTCAATCTACGCAGCCTTTCTTTCTTAAGCTGAGATGATAATTGGATGATCCGGCCCCTGAGGACCGGTTTATGGGCTTCCCAAAGGGTGACAGGTGAAATATCAGGCGTTCGATTCAGTTGGATGTAGTCCGCTATATAGGACTCGAGCAGTATCTTAGTGGAGGGATCAGTCAGGAGGGAATCATTTAAGGTCCAAGTAGATGTAGTAGGGGTGGGTAGTAGGGTAGGAATAAGGATCGTCACTGCTGAGTGATCCGACTAGACATAGTGTGTTAGGGGGAGATATTGCTTACTGTACTCACCCAACCAGATTAAACGGGAGACCGCTGGTACGCTTGCCCCGGATGGTACGTGGCTCAGCTCTGAAAGCGACTGATGAATCCGAGGTGGGAGATAAGAAGATGGAGAGAGGGATGGACAAGAGGGACAAGACATAGATAACAGCAACACAAATTCTAGAACCGGTAGTGGATATAATCCACAACAAGCCTGGAAAATTTGCGACCACAATGGGCCTGGACCCTGAGCCAAAGGGGAGAGTGTGTAGATAGGCACTAAGGGGTGCACTCTTAGGCAGCCTGGCGTTAAGATAGTATGGTGCGGCCAGTAATTATGTGCAGGGGGAGTCTATGCTCAGGATATTAGCTGAGGGTCCAGGCCAAATGAATATAGCTACTATATATATACGTTAATGGGGAAAGAGATCTCCTTTCGGCTGTATTGGATGTCAGAGTTAAGTAATCTGCTCTTAAGTAATGTTTTTTTCCCCATCCACCATCTTGTAGAGTAGAGTGTGTTACTGCCGGCCTCCATACAGCCTAACACTGAGCTGGCACTCAAAATGAGTGAAAGGGCATCATAGCCACATTATTAGTATATAGTGCTGACAACTTACGCAGCATTTACATACTGTACATTCACATCAGTTCCTGCTCTCAAGGTACTTACAGTCTAAGATCCTTATCTTGCATGCATGCATGCATACAGACACACACACACATACAGGGCCAATTTACACAGGAGCCAATTAACATACCAGCATGTCCTAGGAGCATGGGAGGAATCCAGAGAGTACCATTAAGAAGCCCACACAAGCATAGGATTTGAACCAAGGAGTTGCAAGTCACTAAGCAACCTAATGCGCTCTTCTGGCTGTTTTCTCTTTAAGTCCTCTTAGATGGTGCATCGCTGCGGTAGCAGTTTTCCATGTTGCCTTTTCTTATGTATACTAGACATTCTGCCAAACTAGTATCTTGTGTAGGACATACATACTGCTTCTATTGTTTTTGTTTCTGTATCATGATTACTCGTGGAGACACAAACCAGCAGACTGAGATGTCTGGCCGTGACATGTGCAACACCTGTTGGCATTTAAAGAATGCTAAAAGTATATAATAAACTCTTAACATTGGTCGAAAATCCTATTTCAATTTTCACTACAAAGGCAGATATTTAGACTGCTATGTAAAGTTTATTTATAATATAGTAACAACTGTATAATAAGGATTATTTTCTCGCTTCATACAAATTGATGATCATCTGATGAAATTAAAGTCTGGCTTCAACCAAACTTTTATTTTTTTTATTTGAACATAGTGCTGAAGGAATAGAATCCCTTGCAGGTTTTTAGTACAGATATTATCCCTCTTGGGGAGATTTCCACTTACTTGCTGTCAGGACAGAAAGCAGTGGAAATGTCTCCAGCAACAAAACACACACAAAATTTAGGATAGATTAAAAGCTTTGTTAAGTTATTACTGCCTCTGGCTTGCTGCCCTCATTTCTAGTCTAGCTTTCAAATGCTGTCAGGACAGGAAACAAGGTGAAATCTCCCCAATAGGTTAACTGCAATAAAAATTTGACAGCGGGATTTGCTTTTCAGGTCTATCCAAAAATAAAACAATCGTTTTCGGTGGAGTTGGCATTTTAATTTTTTTATCATATCAGAACCACTGGAATTGAAAGAAAGGTTTGCATATGGCACAAAATCAGTTAAATCAAAAGATCATATTATAGCTTCTGTTGTGTCATCTTAACATAACCTAGATAAACAATATTTTTTTTGTTTGATGAATGTTTGTAGTGGTGATTTAAGATCGGAATCGATAATCTGATTTTGATTTGTTTCTTTAGTGTAATTCTATTTTCTTGTTTTTTTTATTTTAATATACTTTAAAGAATGAAGATTTAATTAATCATCTTTTTTCCATTTTCAATCTAGGTTGCTCAACTTTCTGCTGCCAGCTTTCAGAAGACAATATGAAATGTTAAGAGAGGCTGGATTATCCAGTGCTGTTGTAGAGTCTGATTTCCAGGAGGTTGAGCACTTGGTACAGAGGGAAAAGGCTGTGGTGTGGGCAGATCAGACAATTGTTGAAGACCCCAACAAAACAGAAGTACCAGATGTTGCGTCAATCATTTCCTTCCCACAACTGATCTATTCACAGACCACGCCATGCAGTAAGATGATTTCTGATGTTTTATATTTCTTTAATGCCATAAATTAAAACATTTAAATGAAAACAAAAAGCTGTCTAAACTCTTTTAATGCTGGAAACACAATAAAACAGCAGCCTGAACTGCTGTGTGGACTCTAGCTACTTGTATTAGAGACCCTAAATTGAGGCAGTTTACTTATAAACAGTGGAAACAAGGCTGCTGTAATTACAAATGGTTGAATGATAAAGTGCCTGAAACTTGTTTTATATAAAACAATTGTCAGTTTAATTTGCTGGCTTTTCAATACCAGAAAGAATTCTGATAGAGCAGAGATATCCCCCAGCCCCAAGCGGATCCACACAGACAGAGGGACTATAGTTTAGGTACCTTAGCAGGGACCACCCCTGACTTGCCAACCTGGCTGAGCAGTGTGGTAATTTAAAGGGAAAATGCCTCATGCAGTCTTTGCCCATGTGTTGGATCTTTAGGGCAGGGTTTCATTAATATGGCCCTCAGCCTTGGACCTGTAAAGCACCCTGCAGTAGCTACATGCACTGCACAAAGTTGAATGTCCTACATTGGATCCAGTGCCATAAGCACATTACAAGCCAGCCCCTCCTCTTCCTTCCGGTGGGGTCTGAGTATGGTCCGCCAAGGCACTGCAAAAAGAAAACTAATCCAGATAGCGACTTTGTGCTGCAGTAGCTGTGAGCAGCATAGAGAAACTTGCTAGAAGAGGTTTTTAATAGACAAGTGTGGAAAAGAATGAACTTCTCTGAGCAGAAAAAGGGACACTAACAAAAAACTGAGGAAGGCATGGAGTGGTAGAGGTTATCCTGGACTGTCCTAACAGCTTTGAATTTCCAGGGTCCAATCACCTGAAAATAGCAGCATAACCTATTGTTCAAGAATTAACTCCTTGTATCCTGTGATGTACAATAATAAACCCTGTCGTTGATGAGAGATGTAGTAAAAAGCAAAGCATACGGGCTGAAACCAACTAATTGATTAGTTGTTCTGGATCTCCTAGTTCTCTCCTCTGCGTTCGAAGCATGGGTTTCATCGTCTTATGTCCCCTCCAAACCCTGCTGCTCCCAGCGGTGAGAAGAGCTCCCCAAACCTACACACACAGCCCCCCTTCCCCTTGACTGTGTCCTCAATCTCTTCTTTTTTTTTTTATCTCAAAAAGAACATCTCTGGTCTGCTTAGACCTCTGATATTTCCCCAAATCCCAAAGTGGTTACGTAAAGTAAAGTTTAATTTTAAAAAAAGCGCAAAAGAATTCTTAAAAAAAAAAAAAGAAATCCCCCCTCCCCCCCCAATTATTACAAAGAAAAAACTAAAGTCATTTTCCGTTTCGGCCTGAAAAATTCTGGTGCGGGAGGCGCATTGCGGTACCATTTAGTTCAATGACACCCTAAAGCACCTACCTGCCCCGGAGCGTGCAGCACTACAATGCCGTGCATTCCAGTGCTGTGCGATTGCAAAAAATTGCATGCAGTTTTATTCTGAAGTAATCTTTGTAACACTGCGTTTGTGAATTTTATTTTGAATTGAAGATTTAAAGATTTTTTTTTTCTTTTATCCAATCGAAAAATAATCAGCCAAGTAAGTGATAATGAAAATAATAGCTGCAGCCCTACAGCAGATGCCTTCCTGTCATTGAACTGACTGCACACACTACAGTGAAATAATGAAGATTTGGCCCCAAACATCCATCACAGTTGTACAACTCCTTCTGTTACCCTGCATACAGATTACAGAGAACCATTCACACCAATTCCCTTTTGTATTCTCCTACTCTTAAATGGTAGATCGTACAATGGGGGCACTAGTTCTGATGACCCTGCTGACCACCAGGGATTTCCCTCACTTTGGAGAGATTTCTTCTAACTTCCTATTGTGGCTATTGGAGAGGAAATCTCCCCAATGGGATAGAGATAGCAAAAAAGCTGACAAGTTAATAACCCTCCCTTACTCTATCCAAAGTTCAAAAAAACATTTGGGCTTCAGTTTCACTTTAACTAAGGCCTGGTTCACACTCCTCCTACTTGGAACGCGCTGTAAAACGCCCTACGCCCAAGGAAGTACAGGAGCTTCTTTAGGGCGTATTTGTCACGTGTATCCATTAGGATACAGTGGGATAGCCCTCGGAAACACGTGTTTCCGTACGCCTAGGTGTGAACCCCGCCTAAAGTACTATAAGTGAAATAGGATTGCATTCTTTTCTGTCAAAGGTTATGCTTGATTTGCTCATGATTTCTCTTCCTGCACTGTGCATCCTCTAACACCTTTTGTTGGAGTGTCCTGTGGTTGCATGATCTAGCAGGGGTTGAACAGTCCAGTTTTACTGTAGCGACTACAGAAAAATGTGTTAGTATGTTGTGCATGCATGTGGCTGCTTATAGTGCAACTTGAGATTGTGCAGGAAAGTGTAGCAGCACTTAAGCTTAACTGAATAAGCGATGTCTTTGTCGAAATGTACAGTTGTGTGAAAAAGAAGGTACACCCTCTTTGAATTTTATGGTTTTACATATCGTAACATAATGAAAATAATCTGGTCTTTAGCAGGTCCTAAAATAAAGTAAATACAACTTCTGATGAACAACACCACATGACATATTACACTGTCATTTTTTATTTTAAAAGCATAAAGTCAAATGGAGAAGTTGTGTGTGAACAATTGAGTACACCCTTACTGCTTCCATAGGAATTAGAGGCTAAGTAGCAGCCAGGTGCTGCTAATCAAATGCCCTTTATTAATTGATAATCAGCAAGTGTGATCACATCTATGAAAACTGAAGTTCAGCAGTTTGTTGTTCTGGAGCGTTCAGGTGTGTGTTAACACAATGCCAAGGAGGAAAGATATCGGCAATGATCTTGGAGAAGCAATTGTTGCTGCCCGTCAATCTGGGAAGGGTAATAAAGCAATTGCCAAACAATTTTTCCGTTGCCAATCTTCCCAAGAGTGGACGTCCCAGCAAATTCATCCGAAGGTCAGACCGTGCAATGCTCAGAGAAAGTGCAGAAAACCCAAGAGTTACACCTCACACTTTACAGGCCTCAGCATGTTATGACACTACAATTGGAGAAAGACTGAACAAGTATGGTTTCTTTGCAAGGGTTGCCAGGAGAAAGCCTCTTCTCTCTGAAAAGTACATTGCAGCAAGGTTTAGGTTTGAAAAGTTGCATCTGAACAAACCACAAGACTTCTAAAACAATGTCCTTTGGGCAGATGAGACCAAAGTTGAGATGTTTGTCCTTGATGCATAGTGCCAAGTTGAGGAACAAACCAAACACAGCATATCAGCACAAACACCTCATACAAGCATGGTGGTGGAGGGGGTGATGATTTAGGCTGTTTTTGCAGCCATAGGACCTGGACACCTTGCAGTTATTGAGTCGACCATGAGCTCCTCTGTACGTCAAAGTACTCCAGAGTCAAATGTGAGGCCATCTGTTCGACAGCTAAATCTTGACCGAATTTGGGTCATGCAACAGGCAATCATCTCAAGCACACCAGCAAATCTACAACATAATGGTTGAAAAAGAAAAGAATCAAGGTGTTGTAATGGCCCAGTCAAAGTCCAGACCTCATTCCGATTGATAGGCTATGGTGGGACCTTAAGAGAGCTGGGCATAAACAAATGCCCCCAAACCTTAATGAACTGAAGCAACGTTGTAAAGAAGAGCAGGCCAAAATTCCTTCACAACGATGTGCGAGACTGAAAGCGATTACTTCAAGTTATTGCTGCTAAAGGTGGTTCTACAAGCTATTGAATCATAAGGTGTTACATGGCTTCTCCATTTTGGCTTTATGCGTGTAAAATAAATAATGACACTGTGTAATATGTCATATGGGGTTGTCCATCTGAGGTTGTATTTCCTGCTAAGGACCAGATGATTTTTTATTATGTCCTGATATTTAAAACCAGAGGGTGTACTTTTTTTTTCACACAACTGTGTGTGTCTGGATACACCTTGCAGGTAGAGATGTTAGTGAAATCGGGAAATATAAAAATAGACTGGGCTTTTGAAAGCTATTACCACATATAACTGTTCATAACCCCACCTTAAATATAGAGCTGTCATCAGCATCAATAATTTGTGTTCATATAGCTAGTGGGGTTGAGGCTTACTCTACACATTTCTCAGACTGTTTACATCTGCTTCATCAGGAGTTTGTGACAAGCTAATTACTGTTATAATGTGTGGTAAGTGGATAGGACTTCACAGCCACAAACTAACCCCGTAGGTAGAAATGAGGGCTTAAAAGAAGGCATATGTTAATCAATTTTTATGGTTTTGGAGGTTTTACATTTTGTATAATAAAATATATATTAACAAAAGAATGTACAAATATGAAAAAAAAAATGTATTTAACATCACAGGAATGTGTGCAACAACATAATTGGTTTGAGCATTTGGGTTTAGATGCACTTTTCATTTTTACGGTTTTCTTTTTTTTAGGAGGAGAGAAGCATGTTCAGATGACACAAATGCCAGGCAGAATCACACAGAATGAGAGCAGCCTAGCAGTTGTCAAACCTTTCACTGAGGAACCAAGTACGTTTTTATTTACTTTTTTTTTTAAATCTGACATTATGCACAAGACAGATACCAAAAATGTCAGCAGTTTTACTGAATTTAGGGGATATTGCCTACCTGCCAAAGGTTTTTTTATTCGGACAATGCTATTTCACAATCTGTGTTCCCAGTAACTTAGCGTTCTAGGAACACCATCACATGAGCCCACTGTAGTAAATATGCAAGCCATGTGTTATGAGTCCACCCCTTGCAGTACAAGTTGGATGATTGTTTAGCCCTGCCACTTATGACTCATTAAGGTGTGTGAGTAACTCTCAGCTAACAATAGACAGGTCAGCTTAAAAAAGTAAAGGAAGCATTCCACCTACCATATGTTTTTGCTCCCTAATCTCATATTATAAACTTGCATGGAAAGTTCTTAGAAAGAATCTTTTATAAAGTGTGGTCCAATTTTATCCAACTGTGAAATAAATCATTAGAAATCCTTCTGGGTTTCCAAAGGCAATTTGATAACTCCCTGGATCAACATTGTTTCTTATAGCTATTTACTCACAATAAAATCCTATTCTTGTAGTCCATTGAGGGACACATTGAATCTTGAACCTTTGGGTTATATTGCTGCTAGGGATGCACCGATACCGGTATTTCGGTATCGAGTACCGATATTTGTTTTTTTTTGGTACTCGCAAGTCCCATTCAGGAAGCTAGGCAGCGTGTAAAGACTCGCCACCCAGCTTCCCGATTAGCAGGGAAGCCGTCTCCATGCTTCTCGTCACCAGGTGACGAGCAAGCATGTAGCCGGCTTTCTGGCCAATCGGGAAGCTGGGAGCTGTGTAATGATGTGGCGCGCGGCTTCCTGATTGGCCGGGAAGCCAGCCCCATGCTCCCTCGTCATGAGGTGACGGGAGCATGAAGTTGGCTTCCCGACCAATCAGGAAGCCGGGCAGTGTGTAATGAAGCGCTGCCCGGCTTCCTGATACCAGAAGTATCGGGCTAGGCATAGGAACATTTGGGCGCGTAAACGTACTTGCCCAAATACTCGGCACCGATACTAGTATCGGTGCATCCCTAATTGCTGCCTACAAGAGGATTGGACACTAATAAATAAGAAATATTTTAAGCTACACTCTGGTGTGTAAATGATCATTCCAAGTGATGTCTTTTTCAGAAATTATTTCCAAATCCCCCTTTATATTGTCTGGACAGTCAGAGATAAGTTTTTTGACAGAACCCTTGCTGAATGTTCCCCTCTGCAGGAGAGGAGATCGTTTAAGTACCCCATAATGGGGATGTCATAAGAGTGTAAAAGGGGCAACACTTGGGAGCTTGCAAGGTGCAGAGGAGAGGCTGAAGGACAGTGCCATGAACTGGTAATGTAGGGGTCCCACACTTGAAACAAGAGTACTGCTGAAGGAGATAAACTATTATTGGAGTTTTTCTGTGTGAGAGTTTCTCTGTCTGGGTCCCTGTTGTACAGGTTGTGCTCACTAACTGTCCCACTGACCTCGCAAGGAATCAATGGGCATCTCCCCAGCATTCAGCAAATACTGCTAGAATTGATCTATAACCAATGAAGGATGTAATATGTTGACAATACTGTAATGTGCAATGTATATGGTAAACTATAGTTAGGGCTATATCATGTGTGGGAAAATATTGAATCTCACAGTATTGGTTAGTGACTCACAGGACCTTTCTCTCCCTCCTCAGCTTTTAACCAAACGAAGATTTATGTAGATCCAGTTGGACCTTTTGCTTAGTCGTTTCTCATTCTTAATCTGTTCAAGATGTTAGAGCGGAAGGTGGACTTTGCACGGAAATTGCAAAATGCTGGCCACCTGTTAAACGGTGGTCATTATTTCATATTTAAAGAAACATATTTAATATCCATCCTAATTATGTGGATTTTACTTGTCGACAAAAGCACCAGCGTTTCCTGAGCTTTCCCCCATTTCCCCCATTTCCTCCATAGCATTTCTTTCTGGCTCTTGCATTAAATTTCGTAAATAAATTCATAGGATTTTCAGACTTCTTGCTGTCAAATGTCTGGCCAACACACTTGCCGTTTGCTCTTTTATAGTTTCAATAGTTTTTATTGAGCAATTTTGTGGAGAAAAAAAGAGCAGAATAACAATACAGGTTTGGTCAGGGACAACACGACCAAACAAAAAGGGTTGATGAAATAAGCAACAAAGACATCTAAGGCAATCATGTTCACAGTAGGCAAAAAACAGTCAGAGGGCACAACTTCTTATGTCAGCAGTCACAAAGAGTACAAGGTATTATGGGGGAGGCAAACCATGTTGAGACCATAGAAACCAAGGACGCCATTTCCTAAAGAAGCTCCCCAATAAATCATTGCATGTCGCTATGACACGCTCATATTCAAAATGCAGTCGCAGTATCTGCAAAGTCTCTGAAGTATTGACAGCCAACGAGCTATTCCAATGTCTGGCTACTGTCACTTTGGCCGCCAGGAGGCTATGAATGACGATACCTCTAAGATGGATAGGGTAGCTTTCGATACCCAAATGTAGCAGAGCCAGGCCATGCATGGGGACAGATGGACAGCCACTAACAGCTGCCATAATTTGGAAAATGTTGTTCCAAAAGCTAGTGAGGGATTTGCAGAACCAGTAGGCGTGAAGCAATGTTCCCGTGAGTCCACAGCCTCTCCAGAACTCCAGAGAGTTGGTAGCTGTTTGCTCTTTTTAAAGGGATAGAAAATGTAACACTTTTAATAACATATTTAGTAGACTGAAATGGAGCAAAGAAAAAAAGTTCATTGGGGTTTACACAGAGTTTTACAGCTTAAAGCAAATCTTCAAAACAAAAGTCCACCAAACAGTAATAACCGCAAATTGCCTATAATCTCTGTTGGCCAGGAAAGCGTCCACTGTTTGTCCCTCTGAAACTGGCGTAAATTTTCTTTTTAAGGGGTTGAGTTTTTGTTAGTAATGCGGCTAAGCCTCGACTTAAGTTTTCTCTATATGGGAGGCTTCAGATGGAACCAGCCAATGTCTGAAGGAACAGATAATCACTATTGATCCCCCTGAAAGCATCGGTCTCTGTAGCTCTCTCCATTCACTGCAGATCCAACCAGCCTCTAAAACCTACGTGCCCTAATGGAGCTGAAAGAAGGCCTAGTTACGTGACCTGTTGGTCATGTGACGCACCTTTACTCCAATCATTGACTTTCTTACGACACCATAGGCCCCACTCTGCGGCCTGTAGAGATGTTGTATAACCTTTCAATAGTGTGTAAGAAAAAAAAGTTCTACCACATTGTCTTAGTTCCTTTGAGAGTAAGCACCGCTAAATAATAATGTATATTGCTCAAGCAAACTTTTAAAGAGGTCTAGGGTAAAGTAACAGGAATATGAAAAGGATGATTAGGTTACATCTGACCTATCTGCATTGCTGAGTTTTTCCTCTTATCTAAACAATAGACATTGGTGAGAAAGATGGAATAAATGAAATTTTATAGCTGTATGTACTACAGTGTAATTTGTACTAAAAATGATGGCAAAAGTCAACATGTATTATCCTTTAATAGTTACGAGCGCTGTTTCTGAGGCTCACAAAACTAATTATGTCTAATGTAGGTGTCTAGTTTCTATGCAGAATGGTAATTGTTTTCTGTTCATCGAACATAACCACAAGGGGCTTTGTTACATGTGCTTCATAAAGATAATCTTTACTTGCATATTTAGTCACTTAAAGCAACACTGGGAGAAAAAAAGCCTGTGTTCTAAACAAAAACCTTTTCTGTAGTCTACCTGAGCCGCTAAGAACCCAAACTACAACCTATTCACAGTTTTTATTTAAAAGAGAACTATGGGTTAAGTATTTTTCCCCATAGTTCTCTTTAGGGTCACGGGAGGACATATATTAACCTCCTCCCATGACCCAAAGCTCAGTATAGCCCATGATATATTGAGTGCCGCAGCCGGGACGGATCCCGACAATACTGTCGAGATTAGCCCAACTGCGTGAGTGACAGCTGGCTCTGCCTATCTAGAAGCAGAGCCAGCTGTACCTGCCCCCTTCCCTGATCGTTCCTCCACTCGGAGTGAGCGGATCAGCTGCATGTTTCTGCTCACTTCCCGATCAAAAGCAGTCGACAGCTTCTTTGTCACAGGTGGGCTCTTACTATGAGGATGAGTGGAAATCACTCTCCTCATAGTTCTCCTTTTTTAAAGCAGATGGTGAAAATATATTGATCCCCGAAATCAGAATAAATTGTCAAACCTTATCCCGCTTTAGGGCTCATTCAAAGCTATGCATTCTGATAACGCATGCCCTACCACTATATGCAATACACATACGCCGTGGTGCTAGTCATTTAATTTACACCCCAGTGAACTAAAGGAATGCACAGTGACATACTGCTTTGGTGTCTTGCAATACCAAACTGTGCATGTCTGTTTTCTGGTTCATTGTGGTGTGTTGGCAGCCATTGAAGTGATTTGAGCTGCTCTAACACAACACATTGCAACAGGTTGGGAGGATGTCAATGGGTCATCCTTAAAGTGATGTGAGATGGGGACCTTAGATTGTAAGCTACTTGAGGGCAGGGACTGATGGGACTAAATAGTATGTAAAGTGCTGCCTAAACTAACAGTGCTATATTAGATGTAATAATTACATGCAACTATGGGCAAAAGCAAAAATTATACATAAGATGCAGACTAGTCATTTACAAGAATTAACATAGCAGTGTTTGTTTTTCTGCCTCCCCCGGAGCATATTTTATTAAATATTTAACCTACCAGTAGATTATTTCTTTTCCACTTCCTGTCATAGGGCGGCAACGCTGTTCATTATGCAGTGAAATCACTGTAGAGTTGTCGTCCTGTTAAAAGTCAGCAGATTAAAGCCCAACTCCAGCTAACACTTTTTTTTAGCAGTTATAGGAACAGCTTTTTCTTTTGGGGAAAAAAAGGTTTAAAAAATTGTACAAAGGTGTAGTTATATATCCTGCTTTCCATTTAGATCACACCAGCAAGGTGTATCACCAGACAGTCCTTGTCCTAGGGTGACAATGCTTACTCAGTTGCCGTGTTGTGTTGTCCTTTCCTGTGTGCTCTTTATGTCCATTATTAGCAGTTGAATCAATGCTTGTTGTGCTGGCAAAATCTGCTGTAGATACTACAGGAATACTGTTATCTTCAGCCACTGCCAGAGGGTGAACACATCCACTGCGAGTTCATAGAAAGGTTCTGATAAACGACGATTGTCAGCTGTAGAGGAATGCAGATTGTTGCACAGAAGTGAGTTAATCGAAAACAAACCCCTGTGAACATAAGTTAAAAGGGGAAATCACACCCCACAAAAAAGTGCACAAGGATGCTATGGTCCTCCCAAAAAGAGGAATGGCCTTGAATCTTTAAACCTCCCTTAGGTGCAAGGCTCCTGACGGAGGCAAGGTACTCTGGTCCACCTAGGCCAAAACCAAGCAGACCCTGGTTCTTGGTGGAGTGGCTTCGGCTGATCCCCAAGTACTTGGTGAGGATTTTGTTGAAGAGACACCCGCATGGGCAGAGGCAAAAGACCCAAAGGCCACAGCCAAAAATCCCCCCTTCCCTAGACATCTGCATGGATCCCGAAGGTACCCATACCCTCCATTAGTGCTCATGCATAAGTGCTGGTGCAAGACATGGCAAGCCTTTTGGCCAAGATAAAAAATTGCTTCAAGCTAGTCAGAAGGGACTGCCCAAAAAGCGTAGTGTAGAAAAAGCTGGAGAGCCACAGCTTTGTGGCAGTGGCACATATAGTTTATTAGGAGCAGAAACCATAATTTTCACTGTCTTGCACCATCAGCCTCTTGGCGCAATGCTGTTGCATCTGCATTGTGCCGTATAATCATTATACAGCGCACTGCAGAATACCACCAGCTATAGAGGACTACAAATCCCAGCAATAATACATTATATACAGCACAATGCAGAACAACGCCAGCTAAAGAGGACTACAAATTCCAGCAATAGTACATTATAGCATAATGTACTATTGCTACATTCCTCTATAGCTGCTGGTATTCTGCACTGCGCCGCTGTATAATGTACTATTTTTTACTTCCACCGCGCCAAGCTTGCTTCCGTGATGGACTACAATCTCAATAGAAACTAGTAGTCCATCACTGGAGCCTTTTTTTTTTTTTAACCGATTAATCAAACTCCATAATCGGCAAACGAATCGATTATGAAAATAATCGTTAGCTGCAGCCCTAGAGTGTATATATGTGTGTGCGCATAGTGTGTGGGTGTGTGTATATGTGCTTGGATATACTGCGACTTCACTTGAATTATTATAGAATATTGTACTGCAGTATAAAGGATCAGGTCAGCTTTGCATTTCTGTAAATGAGCAGAAGTGTTAAACCTCCGTAATATGCGATTTTGCTCTGAAAGGTCTTGACTGAACCCATCTGTCATTTTAACGACACTCGAGAAGAACATATACGTTGGATGGTATTGCATTTTGTTCTTAAACTTTTTACAAATTTCATGATTTCGTTTGTACTTTTACATTGACAACATACTGAAATATATGTTTACGGCCCTAATATTTATCTAGTTGCACAAATGTAGGTTACCACAGAGACCAAGAGTTTGAAATTCACCCACACTGCTCCCTCGTGACATTACAGATAGGTAGCCATAGTTACTCAAGGCAGCTCTGCCGCTTTGTTGTAAAGATTTGCTGCATCTATGAGTAATACCTGGCATGTGATGCTTGGTGATTAACAGCTTTTGTTATTAAATTAGTGTTGGCATAGAAGTTGCATTAATCTCTTTTGTAAGTGGATGCATCTGAAGAATGGTTTTGTGTTTTTTTAAATTTTTTTGAACAAGTACATCTTTAGTTTTCTCTTTTTCAAGTTTGCATCTTCATTGAAATTTCTAAAGATCAAGAAATTTTGAGTTTTCCGGGGGGTTTTAAGGCTACTAATATAGCAATACTAAACCTGAAGTTAAATATTTTAAATGTACAATTAAAATTTAGACTTTTTAGCATGCACTCTGACTGAAAGTGTTTGGACACTTGACCTTTACACCTATATGAGCTTGTTATAAATCCCATTCCAAAACAATGGGTATTAATATGGAGTTGCCCACTCCTCCTTTTTCTTCCCAACCGCTGCAGCTGTAACAGCTTCCACTCTTCTTTTGGAAAGCTTTTTGCAAGATTTTGTAATGGATCTATTAGGGATGTCCAGATACCAGTGCTTATACTTGGCAGAGAAACTAGCAGGGTTGCGGTGGTTGCAGCTGGGGTGGGGGCTCTGGCGCTCCACCACCGTCCTGAAATCATTAGTCTGTATTGTTTTAGGAAAACCTGTCACATGACACTAAACAAAAATGTGCTAGTACTTGGATCTGTGAGTACTCGGCATGTACCAGTACTCGTACTCGCAAAACTGGTATTGTTGCATCCCTAATATATATTTATAAAAACAAAATCATACATTAAAACAGATATGTACAAATCCCAGGGGCTCTGTATGTACCTTAAAAATGACAGCTGCCTCCTAACTTTTGGCTTTTTCATTAGTTTAGTCTTGGAGCTGGAAAAGTATCTGCACTTGTACCGAGTATGGTTCTTGGCATCTGAACATCCCTAGTGTCTGTGATTTATTTGTTCCCATCCAGCCTAAAAAACATTTAGTGGCCAGGATTGATGTTGGGCGATAATACCTGGCTTGCAATAGTTGTTCCAGTTCATCTTTTTTGGCCATAATGGTGTCGATTTTTAGCTCCACCTCACCCAAAAAATACTCAGCTAAATATATACAGTATATATCGGTCTGTTCAAAATTGATTTTGTTTGAATATTTTTTTTTTGAAGATGGTAGAGAAAGGGTTAGAACTTCATTTGGATTTTTATTAGTGAAGGGATCTCTAGTCTCCTTCAGTTCAGGTAATACCCTCCTTTGTTAGACTGACCATGTGTCATAGGGACAGGAAGTGAGGGGAAATCTTGTCAATAGTGGGACAGGTTACACTATAAACCTGATGGAAGTTCCTAACCTTTTCCATTCTATGAAAAAGAAAATGCCATCTCACCTGAATAAGTCACTTTGATTTCTCTTGTGAATGCTCATTTAATAGGTTTGAAAGAAAATGTTCCTCCGAGGCAAGTAGAAGATCCTCCTTTCAAAAGAACCAGGAGGAAACTAATGCAGTCTCCCCAGACAGCAGCTCAATGTACCAGTAGTAACGAGCATGAGGATTCACTCAGCGGGGAGCTTGTACCTATTGTTTACACACCAGACAACTGCAATAAAACAATCCTTCTCACAAAGGATGTAAGAACAATGTCTGGCATTGGAGAGACTCTGGAAAATATCCCCACCTTCATGGCTAATGACAAAGACCGTCAAAAGATGGGGTTCACCTTCCAGATGAAGATGGATCCTGAACATGACATGGACTCTACGGTCATTCTTTCTCATGGCAACACTGACATGAATCCAGATGCCAGTGGCACAGGCACGCATCCTCCAAGCATGCTACAGAGGTATTACATTAGATTCAGGATGTTCTTGTATATGGCAACAAATTACTGGTAAACGCACAGACAACCTTTTGTGGACACTCAAAACTAACACTGTGGTCACACTACTTGGCATATGAGATAGATATATGCACACGCACATATGTATTGTAAGCTGTTCTGAATTTGAGCACTGTGCTTTAGGAACCTCATTTTTACAGCAGTGCACTGCACATTTTAACCATAGGAAACTGTCAATTTAGAAATACAGGAGCTACCAATGCTGACTTTATTTTTAGGTGCGCGTTTTAGCACTCTCATCCTTAAGCTGTCCATACACAGAACGATTTCTCTTGTTCAGCACAGTTGGCTGAGCAAGAGAAATCACTTAATTCCCCCACCTATGCTAAACAGCGTGGCTGGACCAATCTCCCCTGCTGCCTGTTGTATTCTGACCTGTGGCATCTGCAACTGTCTAAGGGCCCAGTCACACCATATCAAGTGCCTACCGATGCAGTTTGCGCCCGTAACGCGCTGGGCCGTGTTCTGGGGCGGGAGGGGGCGTCTCTGTCATTCATGTCAATGGTACAGCAGAAGATGCAATCTGGAAAAAATGCTGGATGCACTATTTTTTCAGAGCGCACTGGAACGGACGGCATTCCTGTACCTCGCATTCCGGTGTGGATGATCGCTCTGCGGACAGGGGGCGTGTCTGCGGTGCCATTCACATGAACAGCACAGACACGCCTCCTCCTGCCCCAGAACACACCCCGGCTTCATGTATGTGATCCAGTGCGTTACTGTAATGAACTGCACCGGGACGCACTGGATATGGTGTGACTGGGCCCTGAATACATGAACAGTGACTGCATCTGATTCACTGCAGTCACAGTTGGGCCAACTTTTTTCTGCCTAGCTCCTTTTGATTTTTCAATCATAGTTTGTGGAGCCAGCATAGCTGTAATTTCCACTGCTTGCTGGGAGTACAGGCATAGCTGCCCATTGTCACTATATAGTGATGTATGTACATGTTTTGGGACTACATTTCCTAGCTATCCTTTTATTGGGATGATCTGAGCATTGTAAGGTTTTAAGGTCCAGCTCGGTAACTAATGACAGAAAACATTTTCTAAGCTGCTTGTAGTCAGGCCCTTGCTGAGTTATGCTACCTGCTGGTGGTCATGTAGCTCAAATAGATGTGGAAAGAATACTGATTTGCTGCACTATAAGGGGACACCTAGATCCTCAAGTCAACAAAATTCAAGTTTTACTGAGGTCCCAGCCTTATATAAAATCACTTTCCTTCCCAGCTTCAATGGCTTATGTTTTTTTCTACTATTCTAGTTTTCTCATGCCCAAAGATCAACTTTTACGCTCGTTTACATGACAGGTTCCCTTTAGACATTAGTGAGGTTTCTTGTTACTGCGCACCACTGCTTTTTTGCATATTACGAAGTAGTGCCCGAAACGTTCGTTATAGCTTTTTAGTTGTACAAGACTCTCGCCTCATCCAAGCAGCCTTTAGTTCCACCGACTCTGACAACGTTTGTTCTCTTTGCTAAATGCACAGAACTGTATGCATTGTAAGGCGGACGGTCATATTGTAAAAGGCAAACATTTACCAAAGCCTTTAATCCCTGTTCTCACAGGCTAGGACTCCCATCTCTGCTGAGCAGAAATCCAGGAAAGCTGAGTGAGAAGCCATCCTACATGGCAATGACTTCAGCTGCCGAAAGAAAGAGAAAGCTATTAAGGTAAGATTGTACACTTCGTGCCATAAGATCTCCTGTCTGGAATGTATTAGAGGCCGGCTCTCTGAATGTCATTTCTATGAAAATCTTGCAGTATTATATAAATACCAGGTTATTGCAGTTGTGTCCCTCAGTCTATTGTTTCTCTTCCTCCCCTATTTCTGCTTTTCTTAATTTAACATTGGATTTTCCAGAGGGCAGGTATTACAAATGTTTCCCTTACAGACAACCTTTGCAGCCTTTCACTACAATAAACTAAACAGTAAAGGTCCTGACACTTTGTTTTTAAAACTGTTTAAGCATATTCTTCTTAAAACAATTCCTCCCCCTAATACAGACATGTGATTCCCATTGTCAGGTCCCCTCTTCGTTCCATAGTTATAATCCCCCTCACCTTTTTGTCAATGTAAACTTTCTATAAAACCTCATAGAGACCTTCTGTTTGCCATAAACATTTGACTGTCACAAAGAAACCTATAAGTACATGTTCCTCCGGCAGTATAAGTACATGTTCCTCCGGCAGTATAAGTACATGTTCCTCCGGCAGTATACAAACATTGAACAATTATAACATTATATCTACTTTTAAAATTGCAATCCAGGCAAACGGAAGGGAATTTATCAAAACTGGAGCAACTGTGCATGGCAACCAATCGGCGTCTGTTTCATTTTCAAATCTTAACTGAACAAACTGAAGAGAGAAGCTGATTGGTTGTCATGCACCACTGCTCCAGTTTTTTGATACATTTCCCCCAATGTATGTAATTTACATATAAGCGAACTGTCTTGCTTGCCAATGGAATAGTGATTCTGATGAGCCTGTCTGCTGCTGCAGACATCACTGGCCTGTTCTTGACCCTCCACTGCAGTGTCAGCTTTGACAGAAGCATTAGCCGCCACCACCGGCACACCCAATCTGGATTGGACAGTGACACGGTCGCACATAGAATCAATATGCACTCACTCTGTCTGCCATCATGTCCTCTATCATCACATGTGCAATCTAACATGTGCAGTCCGATTGGCTCCTTGTGCTTTTCTCCAAATAGATTTTATACTTCATATTATATATTGACCAATATACTGGTGCATTTAAAAGATGTAAGATGCTCCTGGGGGTACCCATAGCCCGCCTAAAGCTTAAATATCAGTTTTATCAGTAAGTTAGGTTCTAACATGCATTTTGGATGATCAGCTGAACAACTGGGGGGGGGGGGGTCTTAATCCTTGTTTCCAACTTGATCTTTAAGTCTTGCAGCAGGCAGTGCCGTGAAGGAGGACAGCGTGCCACTTCCTGTCCCTAAACGTGTGCGTCAGGACAACCCCTTTGAATGTAAAGCCCTGCGAGTGAAAAGGACAGCAGGTGAGCATGAAGTGATAGATTATGACATTTCTCGTTCACTTTTCACTGTGTGATGAAAGGCTGACATTTCCAGGTTATCAGCCTAATGGTTTGTTACTGTAATCAGTCATCTAAAATATTTTCCAAGTGCGATATGTCCTTTATGCTGTGAATTGGCAGGAATGTCTGTTTCAAAAGGTGTGGGTGTTTGATTTTTATTCCGCTTATTATGGCATATGGCTCGGACGGAGTAAGTTTACTTCTCAATGCGATCTCATTGAACCAACCTTGTTAGCTGAAAATAGTTCTACACAGATGCACGGAAAAAGCTTCCCTTTTATATTTTAATTTGTGTGAATGATCAGCATACTTTCGTTTTTGAAAGATTTGTCTCGATCAGTCTTTGTTGCCAATAGCAACAAATTAGATCTGCTTTGCCATAAAGAGTTGTTTCAGGAAACCTGTATAGTGACTTACAGATCCTCTGGTTGTTTAAGCGATAGTTAAAGGGATCAGTCCACGTAAAAATTATACTTAAGACAGTTATCCCCATGGAAGGTTTCCACCTCACTTTCTATAGTGACAACTGTATTTCCCTCACTTTTTGTCCCAGGGCATCAAGACAAGCTACAAAGGTGAATCTTCTCAACCGAGCCACAGTTCCTACATAAGGGCCCATTCACACCAGCAGCCAGGCTACACCACATGGCTGCTGGTGTGCATGTGCCCAGCATAGTGCTAATGACACATTTAAAGGATCCAGCCAAGCCTTTTTCTTTTTGTGTTTTTGATAGTAGGGAGGGATTAGTTTCCCTGTCGGATTTAACTGATCTGTGGGACTCCAGTAGAACAAATTCCCTTCAGTCACTGCCCCACTGACTACAGCTTCAGCCGACGAGAAGGGAAATTTCAGCAACATATAGAGAACTAAAAATGTTGTTTAGTAGAGATGGGGAAGGTTAGAACCCCTGTCAGCTTTTTGCAGATTTTCTTCCACCTGTCAACCTAAGAGGAAAAATAAAAGGAAAACAGAAAACTATGCCTACAATTACCAGCCAGAGGGGAAAACCCCTCCCCTATAAAGCATGGTTCAATTTGCTCCTACAGGTGCAAAAAAAATTCCTTTCTGATCCCATAAGGGAATTGGATATTCCCTGGATCAACTATCTCTGGTGTGTAATATACTTATAAGAACTCAATATCCAGTATCAAGTTTTTTTTTTTTTAAACAGTTAACTGATCTCGCTAGAACTAGCTTCTGGGGGAATCTATTCCACATTTTCACAGCTCTAGCTGTGAAGAATCCTTTCCATATGCAAAGGTTAAACTTCTTTTCCTCCAGACGCAATGAGTGCCCCCTGGTCCTTTGCAGTGACCTTAAAGTGAATAATTTGGCACCAAGCTCACTATATGGACCATTTATGTATTTATACATGGTGATCATGTACCCCCTAATCGCTTCTTCTCCAGAGAGAACAAATTCAGTATCTTGCAGTCTTGTTTCATTATAACTCATAAGGTCATGTTTGTTTCTTAAAATTACAACACGTGGTTTCACCTAATTCTAGCCAACTTTTTTTTTTTTGACAGAGTGAGAAGGGTTAAGATTTCAGTTTCTGTCCATAACTCCATTTAGAAGATTTCCCCCTCACTTCCTATCTCTGTGACCATCATACAAGAAATAGGGAGTGTGGTGGTCACCATAACAGGAATACACCAACATTCAAAAGACTGTCAAGGGCTCTCCATCTTTTTCCTTAGTCTTGGGAAAGGGAGAGCGCTCATTTCAGTAATGATACAGAGAAGTATAACATGCATGGCATCCCAGAACACAGGCAGGATATTGCTGATCGCTCCTATGAGTAGTTTTTCAGCCAGGCTGTGGATAAACCATGATCAGTCTACAGACATGGCAATTAAAGAACTCCACGCTACCCCTGCACTGCAAGGGTTAACAGCTAATTTTTGTCTAGGCGTTTAAAAAAAAGTTATACTCCTTGACTCCGCTGAACCGGCTCGCTCTTAGGCCGTTCCTTCCAGTTTCTTTCCCCTACTCTTCAGCAGTTTAAGGTCCTATTCTATTCACTATGTATAGACATGAGGAACATTACATTCCAATAATGCAGCACAGGAGGTGAGCGGCTTCAGGGAGCTGGCTTGGCAGTTTGGGTGAGTATACATTTTGTTTTTTTTTAGCATCTAGAGAAAAACGAGCAATTAACCCTTGCAGTGCAGAGGTAGCACCACTGCAAGGGTTAGTAAGTTTTGTCCGGAGTGCTTCTTTAAATAGAATTTTAAAGCTACGCTGTGTTTTGTTTTTTTTTAAACGGACACCTTTGACTGCAAAGGGCATTTTTATGCTATGGTGAACTAACCCTTTAAACAAGTAATGTGCGATTTCATCCTCAGTGGGATTTATTCATTTCATAACTATGCTAAACATATTTTTTTTTCCACCCACAGTAGCAAAATATAAGGACAGTGCTGCACAGAGACGTCTACCCAGGAGCGTTTCAGATGGGAACTTAGCAGCTGGAGCTAGAAAGAAACAATTCTCTATTCTTGGTTCATCTCGACCATTTTCACAAGCTGGAAAGAAGCAGTGACACCGACCTGGACTAAACTTTGATGCAATGTTACAGATGCCTTACTAATATTAATACACTTTTTGGATATACTACATAGGACGTCTTGTACTCTCTGAACGAATCTCAGCAATGTTCTTTCAGTGTTTGTGTTTTTTTTTGTTATGTCATTTGTGCTGTCTGGTGCTATGTCTGAATGTAAACAGAACACTGACAAAGTTATGTATTTAATGTGTGCATGTAGGGAATGCTTGTAAATATTTAAATGGATCTTCTTAGATTTCTTTGTGAGCGCATTGTTGTCAATTGTTCCACTAGTGTGGAGATATAATTTCCTGCAGGCGGTACATGTAGTCTTACTGATTTTATAGCCCTGTGTCTAGTTGTGGTATTCTGTCCGAGCCTATGGTGAGAGAAGACCCAAACGTAGCTCCCAAAAATACTTGTTTTGTAATATATTTTGTAGGTTTGAGTAGGCGCCTATTAATTTCTTTTATTTCAGCAATGTCCATGCCAGAATTTTAGTCCGTGGCTCTTCACACAAAGCCAAAATTAAAGTGTCATATGTACTTTGTGGTGCCTGCTCTTAAAGTGACCCAGTCTGCTCAGGGTTGCGGCCATCTCGTTGCTTGGCATTCTCTAAAAGTATTCCTCCGGGTATGCGAATACCTTGCTGCCCTACTTCTCGCTCTCGTTTCTTCCACTGTCTTGTATCTCACTACAGCACATATTAACTAGTTTGAAGAACACAATTAGCAGGGGTTCAGGAAGGAGTTGGGGACAGATATTCGACTCATCCAACCGTTCGAATACTCGCAGTGGACGGTAAGCAGTGAATCGATGGCTTTTCATAAAACGTGCTTCAGGAAAGATGAGTACTATGCAGTCTTCCTTTTGCATATATGTTTTATATACAAGTGATGCTTTGCTGACGAGATCACTTTTAAGTGTATGTCTGGGCGAGATTTAAAATGGTCAAGAAAAAAACATTCAGTATATCTCTGCAATACCTCACCAGCACCTTTCCTCATGTTTTGTCCAAGTATAGAAAAATACCTGGGGATCTAATAGAAATCTATTCAGGACAAAGCAACAGGTTTGCTTTAAACCCCAACAGCACGTTTCTACATTTCCATTACTCCTCCACCACTCTATTCGCTCCAGGAACTGAAGAAAGTTTTTCTGTGCACATGCGACTAGGCTGGGTCAATCGGCCCTGTCACACGGGAGTCCATAGTCCTGTGTAAGCTCTAACTCTAGCATAGTTTACACAGGACTTTACTTTTGTTCGCAGCAGTGAGGTAGTTAAAAGATTGGCAAGTCTATGTTTCTGCGGACATCTTAAATAAAGCGAACCTGTGTTCTAAAAGCACTGGTTCACCTTAATAATCTTCAAGAGTCAGAAGAGAGGAAGGAGATTCTGAGTAATCTTTAGCTCATGAAAACTTCTCAGGACAGAATGGGAGCTGCCATTGCTTGCTTGTTTACACAGAAGCAGACTTTGGGGATGCCATCCGCAGGCTGAGTTACTGACCTGAAACAAGTATGCAGGACTGAAGTTTACTTTTCAGACATCACTGGCTGTTTGATATGGGTCAGTAGCTCCACCTTGGAGCCAGCAACAACTTGAGTCTCGTATTTCTATCTCATATGTTCAATTTAAATTTCAGATCACCAAAACTGATATTGCCATTTTTGCTAGATTCCAGGAGCTTCTGTGAGGATACAGATAAGGGAGCTGCAATTGCAGACTTGTTTTAAAGGAGCAGGTTCTGGAGCTGTAATTTGCAACTTGGCTTTGCTACCACTGACCTGAAACAAGCACGCATCCCTTAAGTATAAAATGGCTGAATATCCAACTTGCTTGATATGGAATGCAAGGATCAGGATGAGCAACCAAGAGGCCGCACATTTACAGGGAAAGTATCATGTATATTTAGTAAGCACACATTTCGATTTATTGTTTACCTTTAAATTAATGTTTATGCCTCCTATATACTTTTTTACCAGCTGGCTTTTCCATGGTTTTGTTACAGCATCAAATATAGGGAATGGTCACTAAAGGGAGCTCTCAGCAGTTGTCTTTTAACAACTGCTGAGATAAGATTACCAGCCACTCAGGGTGTGTATTGTTTTCAATCAGTGCACTTACTCAGGCTTGCATTATGAGGAGTAGTAGTAAAACACAACCACTGCAAAGGAAATATGGCTGCCCTCATCTACATATGCAATTACAAATAATACATGGAAGCACCTATTAATTTATTGTTTACAGAAAGCTGATTTTATTTTACATGACTATATAAAAAAAAACTAAATTTTCTTTTAAATAGGAATTGTTGGTCTGCAGCTCCTGCCATAATTTGCAAGTATGCACACCATACTAGCACATTATGGCATACTTAACTTGCAGGTCAGAGCTGTCCCTCATTATTCCATCCACTGCCGTCTCCTTCAGGTTCCCATTACTATTCTCTAGCCATCGGATGCCTCTGATGATGCAACATGGGTAGGAGCTATACCTTCCCGGCATCTTAGTGAAGAGTACCCTGTCCTGTGTACTGTACTCTTATCTCAATGCATTTTTTTTTTTTAACTAAGTTCTGCTCTAGGAACAAATCAACAATGGCAGCTGTACTCTTATCTCAATGCATTTTTTTTTTTAACTAAGTTCTGCTCTAGGAACAAATCAACAATGGCAGCTTTTATATTTCCCTCCTCACAGATTTTTACTAGGGATTTTAGTTCCCAGGCCTGCACATCGGCTAAGACATTTTACAAGGTCATATTTTTCTGCTTAGGATTTATATTGATATTATGAAGCATGCAGGAGTGGGGAATACCCCAGGGTGGGTAGGGAGATCTCTCTGCTGGAGTCATTAAGACATATAACAAGTAATTGGTTGGAAAAGCCCCCCTGCTTTCATCTCATTTACCAGCAAAGCTGCAGAAAAAAAGTATCCAGCAGTGAAAATGTCCTCATTACCACAGCTATAAAAAGATTTTCAAATATTGGCTGTTTTTTAGTCATTTTTCCAGTCACCTTTTCCATGGTGTTCATTTTAGTGAAATGCATTTAATTTCCCATTCAGTGAAAATGCATCGTGCTCATTTAGACACGGACTACTCATGCAAAGGCTTTTATTGGCAGGCAGGATTTCCCCACACATTGTGGTAATGCAAGAAGCATTAGTGTTATAACTGGAGATCCCAGCACCAATTTAAAAAAAAAAAAAATTTTTGAAGAGGTTCCTGTAAGCCTTGGTTTTTACTAATGGTTTCTGTGAATGATCATTATAAATTATGTTTTATTTTTATGCTGTAAATATTGGTTTCCTGTGTTTATTAATATTTTTCCGTGTGTACAAAGCTGTGTCCTGTAAATAGATTGTTAATAGCCTGAATATGTTTTAAACACATTTTCTTTTATAGTTTTGATTAAAGTTATATTTCTTTAAAGAAAATGTAATTCCTTTTTTTGGGGGGCGGTGGGGGGAGGTGCGAGGGTCTTAGAAAAAAAAACCCTGCTATAGTGTTCAACTAAAATCAAATCCTCTTATTGTGCACAAGCTAAAGGTCCACTTCAGGCCTATGTGTTGCAGTAATGCACAGTAAAACCCACTTCCTGTGGCGGCATTCATGTAGAACAGCAACACACAAACAGTGCCAGTGTACCTGCACTGTGTTTAGAGATCCGGCCAGCTGCGTGAGTGACAGCTGGCTCTGCCTATCTAGAGGCAGAGCCAGCTGTACACGCCCCGTCCGTTCCGCCAGTCAGTGCTGGCGGATCGGAGCTGGGAGGGGGGAATTCAGCCCCTCCTCTGTCACGGCAGAGAGCCGTGACAGGATCGAGAGGTGAGCGAACACCAGTATATGTTCGCTCACCTCCCGATCTACTGAGCCGACCTTTGACAGTTTCATTGTCACAGGTCGGCTAGAACTATGAGGTGAGTGAAAAGCACTCACCTCATAGTTCTCCTTTAAGTTATTGCTCATTGATCCTATCATTTTCTTCTTTCCAGTAATTTCCGGCAGTCCCTCCAGCACTGGTGCCGGTCTCTGATCCAAGTCTGTGCGGGTGCACGCTGCCGAGTTTCGTGCATTGACATCATTGATGTGTTTTCAAAGTGTTCCTTTAGTTTTGTTTTTTTTAGCAGTTTATGTTCTAATTTGTACTTTATTCAGCAAATACTAGTTCAACATTCTAAATAAGGCTAAACTCCAGACATATTGCTGTGATCCAGATGCATGTGTCAGACTTCAGGGCCAGGGCGTTGACCTGCTTTTCTCCATTGCAGTTAAAGCTCATCTCTGGGCAGCAGCTGAAATATTAGTATATGGCACAGAAGTTATACAATGCTGGGTAGGCAGAGCTTGGATCTACTGCACTAGCCCCCCATCCTGCACTCTTGATTTCATCACACCCTGGATGAAGCTGCAGAGTGTACGGGGAGGAGAACTGGTCTCTCTGAAAGCAGGCACCAGTGACTGGTCTCCTTCACAGGGAATGGGGACATTGCCAGGCAGAAAGGCAACCCCTCACCACCCAGCGAGGGTTCCATGCTCATTTAGGTAAGGAAGCAGCAGAAATACATAGCTTATTTCTTATTCCCTATTGTACATCCAGTCTCACAAAGCTGTTCCTCTTTGCCAGTCCTGGATCATGTACATACAATACTGGACCAGCAGTCCTGTGTTGTAGTTGAGGGCATCAAGGGCCCATCCACATACTTGGGAGCAAAGGAAAGCACTAGCTATGGGGGGGAATGAGAAAAAAGGTAGTTAGTTCTTAGCCCCTAAATTAAATGATAAAGAGCAGAAGCATGATCGTCTTCTTTCTGGGTTTTTTTCCCTCCAGTTATCATGCTCCCAGTGAAAGGTTAACAACATTGCAACGTAATAAAGCCTCACATATGATGATTCAACAGTTAAGCTTTCATATAAAACAAACTACCAGCACATGCAGTGCATTTTTGAGATATACAATTTAAATAGGCCTATAGACAAATGCAAAGCACGGTGATTACAACTGA